CGGAGCTAACGGGAGAATACACTCCCGTTGAAGAGCAGCCGGCCAGCACTGAAGCGGTCGGTAAATGCCGCTGAAACACATTAATAAACAATGAACCACGGCACTCTGGAGAAAAGTATAAGGTTGGAGAAGTCGTTATTTAATTTAATCTGGCTTCGTATGATTAAAAGCAACGCAGTCCCCGGCCCGTTGTTGTTGTGAAGTGAGCTCCGGCGTTGGGGAGAAACTCAGCGACGTAAACTGTGACGTCATGACGCAGCAGCGGCAGCACCAGTCGGGCTCTGAGCGGTGTGAAAAGAGCCGGCGCTAAACCGAAGAACCGGTTCTGAACCAGAAAAGCTCTAGCACGGAGCTTGAACCGGAGTTGCGTTGGTGTGAAAGGGGCATAAGAGAGAGACTACACTCAGGAACTACAACTCCTAGAGGACTGAGAGAGAGACTACACTCAGGAACTACAACTCCCAGCTGGAGAGAGAAACTACACTCAGGAACTACAACTCCCAGCTGGAGAGAGAGACTACACTCAGGAACTACAACTCCTAGAGGACTGAGAGAGAGACTACACTCAGGAACTACAACTCCTAGAGGACTAAGAGAGAGACTACACTCAGGAACTACAACTCCTAGAGGACTGAGAGAGGGACTACACTCAGGAACTACAACTCCCAGAGGACTGAGAGAGAGACTACACTCAGGAACTACAACTCCTAGAGGACTGAGAGAGAGACTACACTCAGGAACTACAACTCCCAGAGGACTGAGAGAGAGACTACACTCAGGAACTACAACTCCTAGAGGACTGAGAGAGAGACTACACTCAGGAACTACAACTCCCAGCTGGAGAGAGAAACTACACTCAGGAACTACAACTCCTAGAGGACTGAGAGAGAGACTACACTCAGGAACTACAACTCCTAGAGGACTGAGAGAGAGACTACACTCAGGAACTACAACTCCCAGCTGGAGAGAGAGACTACACTCAGGAACTACAACTCCTAGAGGACTGAGAGAGAGACTACACTCAGGAACTACAACTCCTAGAGGACTGAGAGAGGGACTACACTCAGGAACTACAACTCCTAGAGGACTAAGAGAGAGACTACACTCAGGAACTACAACTCCTAGAGGACTGAGAGAGAGACTACACTCAGGAACTACAACTCCCAGAGGACTGAGAGAGAGACTACACTCAGGAACTACAACTCCTAGAGGACTGAGAGAGAGACTACACTCAGGAACTACAACTCCTAGAGGACTGAGAGAGAGACTACACTCAGGAACTACAACTCCTAGAGGACTGAGAGAGAGACTACACTCAGGAACTACAACTCCCAGAGGACTGAGAGAGGGACTACACTCAGGAACTACAACTCCCAGAGGACTGAGAGAGAGACTACACTCAGGAACTACAACTCCTAGAGGACTGAGAGAGGGACTACACTCAGGAACTACAACTCCCAGCTGGAACTACATCTATCTATTGATAGATTTATGATTCGAAAATTGTAAAAGTAGGGTAGACATGTGGAGATTATCCGACTGAACAAAACGTGATCAACCACAGACCTTATTTCCAGCTATTTTCCAAAATCCTATGGAGAAATTGCATTACTTTTTTATCGAAGGAACCCATGCGCAGCTTACTTCCGGGTTTTAGGACGCGTCACTGCGGCACTCTATTACAACATTTAAATAAACTATGAAACATAGTCCTGACGGTTTAAGCCTACACACATTATTTAGTGGGAATGCTGATACAGCTGATACAGCATTCCCACTACTTGTTCTTCTACGGAGGACAGCTTGAAATTCGCCTTCACATTTTTTTTTAAACCTGCCATAAGTCCCAACCCCTACACTCCTGAGACATCATGTTTCATGACAAACGTAGGAAAACATCTCCTCGGTTGAAAAAAAATCAAGCAAAAATATTAAACAAAATGCCTCTTGAGGGCATGAAGTGACAAAAACGTTCAACATGTCTCCATAAAGGCCCATTGTAAGTTCAGGCTGATCTTTCCTCACAGCAGCACACCTTTAGTTCATCTGCCACAGGCCACATTATTGACCCCAAAGTACACAAACAGCAGACTCATGCTGCGTTCACACCGGACGCGATGCGAATATTGTAATCGCTCTAAACGCTCGAGTTTCACCGCGGCTGTCAGCTGTGTTTACTCGCATCATTAAAACAAGACGCGCTGGCCAGGGGGCTACAACTACAACAAGATGAACATATTTGACCGTGATTTAATTGTAATACACGTTTCAAAATGATGCCGAAGTAACAACATACTGATACCGGTTAGTAAAAACCATGAATTAATGCTTTGACAAGTCTGCAGACAGACGGCAGGGGAAACACCTTTTAAAATGCTTGTTTTCTGAATGAAGATCGGATCGACCAGGCTAAGCTAACGTTGTATATGCTCTGACCACACTCACAACAACGGCCTATACAGACATAAATAAAGCAGCGACTGTACTCGCCATGACACAGACAGTCTGTGGTTTGTACTTGTTTCACTTTTGTCTAGTTTCTGAACAGATATGAGGAGCTGTGAGCTCTGAGTGCTAAAGCATCAACAAAGCCGCAGTCCAGCTCCTTCACAATAAAAGCCCTCCAGCGAGTGCTAACAGCTAACGGCTGATGTTTTGGTTTTCTGGTTCAACGTCAGTGACGGCAGGCTGAGATCCTCACAGCTGATTGGCTACCGCGAAATCGCGTCACACGAATTTGACGCTCAATTCGAAAAAATTGAACTCGAGCGGTTGTCGCGGCCCCCTCCAATCGCCTCAATCGCGGCATTCGCATCAACCGCTTCATGCGCACCGTCGGAGCGAATTTGTGTCTGTCCGCGTCTCTGCGTTGACTTTACATGTAATCGCGCCGCCCCCAAAAATCGCATCGCGTCCGGTGTGAACGTAGCATCAGACGCTCCTTGGGGTCCTGAGATGCTTCACGCGTTGAAATTTCACCGATATCTGTTACGGTTCTTCAACAAAACGTTCACATGTAAGAGGTTTATCTCTCATTCAGAACAATGGAAAGGCTCTCCTCTCACTGATTACTGCACATCACCATGGAAACCTTTGATCTCTGGACTCAAGCACAGGTGTTTCCTAACGTCGTCACCTCAAACACAAACACCTGTGTGTTGGAGATATGATATGATCAGAGCCGGCCCGACCCATTAAGCGACATAAGCGGCCGCTTAGGGCCCCGCAGCCGCTAAGGGCCCCCTAGCAAAAAAAAAAGATTTTTTTTTTTTTTTTTCTCAGTACACTGTCGCCGTGATAAGTATGTTTAATTAATTTTGTTAATATGCCTAGATTGCCTACTCTCAAAGTCATGTATTATATTATTGAGTCAATCATATAATACATTAACCGTGCTTTACCTGAACCTCATCATGAGAGGACGGCAGGATTGTAATTTCCCGTGTTCAGTGAATGCAACAGAGGCAAGACACCAGACCAATCAGAGAGTTGAATGGAAATAAACATCTGTCTTATTGGCTGACAGGTACCTATCCTGTGAGCTGTGACAATGTTTAAAATAAACTGTCAGTCGGACTCAGAGTTTTTGAAGATGGACATAAGAGCAAGCCAAAGCTCGCTTAGGGCCCCCAAAAGTCTAGGGCCGGCCCTGGATATGATGATGTCATAACTCCAACTGCCAATGCTCAGAACGCCACCAAACATCACATGACGGTTAACACTGTGGCCCTGAACAGCTCTACATCAAATCTGATGTTACGTAATGTGGTGTTACTATAGCAACGCATCCCTCGCCATAAAACACGATGTTGTCGTGATACCTATGCAAATGGTCAAAACAGCACCAGACTTCAGATAATGGTTAATGGTCCAGCCCTCAACATTTCTATGTGCCATTAGTGAGTTTTCCTCAAAAGCTGTTGCCATGGCAACGCATCCCTCGCCGTAAAACACGATATTGCTATAACTCCTATGAAAATGGTCAAAAAGTGCTCAAACTTCACATGTGTGCTAACAGTCCAGTCGTGACGACATCTACGAGACCGTTTTGACCGTTTCTTCAAATGCCGTTGCCTTGGCAACACAATGCTCGCCATGAAACACGGTTTTCTCATAACTTCTGTGAAAATGCTCCAAACGGCCCAAAACTTCACAGGTTTGGTAACGATGCAGCCATCAACACATCTAAGCGTATTATGGGGTGTCATCAAATACCATTGCTATGGCGACAGATCATTCGCCATCAAATTGGTTCAAAAGTTTGCAGTTCAAATATTCTGCTGCTTTTCCAAGCCTTTTTACTTTCTTCTCTCTCATCACACATTCAAGCCCCCAGTGTTCATGTATCATTTCAATCTAAATTCTTCACTTTCTTCTTACACATTACATTTCAGCATAGCAGTTTAGCGTCAGCTTTTCAGCATAAAGCATTCCCACTAGCAATTTCTTCAGGAATGCATTCTCTAGTTGTATTTATAAACTACAATACTGACTGAACTACATTTTAATTATCAAGCATTCAGCAAAGCCAAGAGCTCCTCCAACAGATCAAACATGATATATTAATATAACATCAATTAAATAAAACCAAGTCTGACATCTCCTCACAAAGATAGTGTGTGTGTGCGTGTGTGTGTGTGTGTGTGTGTGTGTGTGTGTGTGTGTGTGTGTGTGTGTGTGTGTGTGTGAGTGAGTGACAGCAGGGATTGTTGCCTGAAGGCATGTTTCCTTCATGCAAACACAGTGTGACAGCTGACCGATGCTAAACACACACACACACACACACACACACACACACACACACACACACACACACAGGCACTCTGATATTCAGTGTGTATCAGTTACCACATGTTGCGATTGGGTCTATTCAGCTTATATTTACCGCTAATAACATGCTAATGCTATCAGTCTTCATGTTAGCAACCTTTATCACAGGTCCAATATGAGTGCTACATGCTAATGCTACATGCTACATGCTAAAGCTACAGGGTGCTCACCTTCGGCCACGCCCCCGTCAGTTGAGTCGTTGCTCATCCCAAAAGTGAAATCTGGACCAGGAACTGAAAACCCTCTGGAGACGGACCGACCTAGAGAGGCCTGCAGTGGGCATCATCATCATCATCATCATCATCATCATCATCATCATCATCATCATCATCATCATCATCATCAAAAAGCCCTCTGTGTCTCACCTTGATGTGCAGCGGGTTGGTCAGCATGGAGTCTCTCATCACACCAAGCCTGGGGGAGGACATGGTACCTGAGAGGAGGAGGAGGAGGAGGAAGAGGAGGAGGAAGAGGAATACACCTGACTGAAGATTCACTCCATTTAAAGGTTATTTATGGACAATAACTTTAATACAAAGGTTAACACGATATTAAGTGAATTTAAAGGTAATTTATGTACATTAAAGGTAATTTAAAGGTAGTAAAGTTAGTATTTAAAGGTAGTTAGTATTTAAAAAGCCTCACCTGTTTGTTTCTGTGTCTCGGACTATGTCTGTTGCTATGGAGACAGGACGCTAACGTGACGTAAGCTGCGACGTGCATTACGTGGCAGTTCAACCGGAAGTTCCAGAGTAAAGTTTAACAGAGTAAAAAAAAGTATGATTTTAATATAAAACACAACTAATATAACTTAATATTCTCTTTGACTGCCACAGGACTTCCTCAGAATCAGTTTAATATATTAAATATCATCACTACTCTGCTATTATAACCTTATTACACTTATATTAATGTTGTTACTGTGACTGTGCTCTGTCAAAATATCTAATAACATTACATGTATTATTATTATTATTTATTATATAATATGTTCAACCTTGTGTTTCAAACGTAATGCTTCTTTAAATTAATGTAATTTTTTTTATTTCAAAATGTATTTACATGTTTTAGGTTTTAACTCCACGCAGCACGGAAGTGACGTCAGGCTCAGTTTGACAAAGATCGTCTATGACTCTGACAGAGGACTCACTCCTCAGTGAAAACAGAAGTGAAATGTTGTTCATTTCTCAAACAATGCTCATTAAATATGGATTTGAGTAAAAATGAGAATCTAAGAAAAACAAAACAAGGGCAAGTTAAAAATAAAATACAAACTCATAGAATATCCGAAGTTAATATTGTATTATCTGTATGGTTTGGTGGTGTTTTATAGTCAGAGTGGGACGTCTTCTCGCCGCTGTGGAGCTCTCTGTTAGCGGCAGCTGCTCTCATGTCTGCCCGGATAAAGCTGCCTGTTTCGGGCATAAACTCTTGTCTCTGACCGACTCTCTGTGTGTCCCCGGTGCTTCTGGAGGAATGCTCCGGCTCTGGTTCTTCTCGGTGGGGCTGTGGCTGCTCGCCCCCCGCTGTGGGAGCTCCTCTGCCCGGCTGTACACGGAGGAGGACCCGCTGGTGATCCTGAGCGGCGGCAGCTTCAGTCCGTCCGTCACTAACTCCTCCTCGGCCTGGTTCATCCAGTTCTACTCCTCCTGGTGCGGACACTGCATCCAGTACTCCGAGACCTGGAAGAATCTGGCCCGGGACGTGCAAGGTACAGCAGAAACCATGCAGAAACCATGCAAACACCATGCAAACACAATGAACACCATGCAAACACAGCAGGGGGGAAGCAACACCAGAACCAGACTCCATGCACAAAACTGCTAATTACTCCATTAAGGCGTTATGGGTCAAACTGGGTGTGTGTTAAAATACAACATAACTCCTCTTCAGTTCGGCATCAATAAATAATCCCAACATCAATAACTAATAACAGCAAATCGAAACGTGTGATGCAGAACTAAAGAGGATTTATGGTTTAATGGTACCGGTAGTTAAAGGTTTCCAGTGGGGTTAGGCAACCTTAAAGTGGTAGGTTATGAGGTTTAGATTGAAAGTTCTTAAAAGGATCATTAATAATAGCTTAGAGTAGATTCTCCTAATATTGATCCGAATCGAACAGCTGTTACTGACACGTGTCTGTTCTCCTTTGTAAACACCAGCACCAGACTCCATGTAGAAAACTTCTAATTACTTAATTCAAACTCTATGGTTTATACTGGGTGTGTGTTAAAGAACCACTGGGTGTGTTTTCTGATCCTTTCATAACTCCTCTTTAGTTCGGCATCAATAAGTAATCCCAACATCAATAATCAATAACATTAAATCGTGGTTTTTAGAAACGTGTGATGCTCATTAAGTCAGGGTTTCAGTGGTGTTGTGCAACCTTAAAGTCAACAGATGATGTTAGGTTTGGTCAACAGGTGGTCGGGCTGAATCACAGGAAGATATAAAAACAGTTTGATGGTTTTTAAAATAATATTCCGCTTTCTGTGGAGTTCCCTCTCCTGGAATGTGTTGGGGTTAAAATCCCAGGAACCCAGTGACATCACTATGTAACACTCGTGCTCCTATTGGCTAGCGCTCCAACACATTGTGCGTGACAGTAGAGTGAGCAGATCAAACCTGAGCTCATTCTAAACAGCTGTCGTCCTCTTAATTAGAATAGATGTTCCTCTCCGGTCTGTGAGCGTTATTGATCTCAAACGGTTCAACCAGAACTCAGTCACTGGATTATTATATCATTATATTGTATTGTGGTTGTTTACTATAAGATGGAAGTAAAGACTGCAAATACATACCAATACATATTATCTGATTAAAAAACTAAAATATACTTATTTTATAAAATACCAACGTCGGTACGGACAGAGCGACCTGTGGGAATCAGAGTTTAATCTCCATCTGCTGACACACACACACACACACACACACACACACGCCTGTCACGTACAATGTGTTGCAGCGCCAGCCAATAGGAGTGCGAGAGTTCCGTAGTGATGTCACTATGTTCCTGAAGTAAACAAAGGAGGACATCCTCTGAACTGAAGCTGAACTGCTAACGAGGCTCAGGGGGAAATGCAGCTGTAACATGAACATCCAATCAAACTGAAGCTGATATGAAGTGTGTCTACCTGGAAGTACAGAGAAGAGAGTGCTTTGGGTTAGAAGGTATGCTTTTCACAAATTAAGTTTGTCTTCCTGTGTCTCACCTGTCTGTGTCTCCCTCACCTGTCTCTCTCTCACCTGTCTGTCTCTCTCACCTGTCTGTCTCTCTCACCTGTCTCTCTCTCTCACCTGTCTCTCTCTCTCACCTGTCTCTCTCTCACCTGTCTCTCTCACCTGTCTCTCTCTCACCTGTCTGTCTCTCACCTGTCTGTCTCTCTCACCTGTCTGTCTCTCTCACCTGTCTCTCTCTCTCACCTGTCTCTCTCTCACCTGTCTCTCTCACCTGTCTCTCTCTCAGACTGGCAGCAGGCGGTCAGAGTGGGAGTTTTAGATTGCGCTCAGGAGGAAAACTTTGAAGTCTGTAAAGAATTCAACATCAAGTTCTACCCGACGTTTAAAGTACGTACAACACCGAGTTCACTGTGTACAAGTACTTTATTATACTGTATACAAGTACTTTATTATACTGTGTACAAGTACTTTATTATACTGTGTACAAGTACTTTATTATACTGTATACAAGTACTTTATTATACTGTGTAGAAGTGCTTTATTATACTGTGTACAAGTACTTTATTATACTGTGTACAAGTACTTTATTATACTGTGTACAAGTACTTTATTATACTGTGTAGAAGTACTGTAGTGATACCGTGTAACAGTACTTTATACTCTGTAATCTCCTCACTAATGTGTAACTTTACTGTTTCAGTATTTCCGTGCTCACAGCCCAGAGACGGAGCGAGGGACGCCGTACAGAGGTGAGACTCTAATGGCGCGTTTCCACTGCAGCGCGGAGCTCGCTTTAAGCGTGCCGAGCCGTGCCGAGCCGTGCGCGGCCCGTCTTTGGTTGCGTTTCCACTTGGCGTAGTTCCGGCTAGCGGGTACTATTTCCAAATGTTCTGGCCCCATAAAATCGTGTTTTTTTCCGGGCCAACAACCGGGCTGAGTCGGGCTGAGTATGCTAAACTAGAGAGAGCATCGCTGGCCAGGGGGCTACAACTACAACAAGATGAACATATCTGACCGTGATTTAATTGTAATACACGTTTCTAAATGATGAAGTAACAACATACTGATACCGGTTAGTAAAAACCATGAATTAATGCTTTGTCAAGTCTGCAGACAGACGGCAGGAGAAACACCTTTAAAATGCGTGTTTTTCTAAATGGAGATTGGCTAAGCTAACGCAGTATATGCTCCGACCGTCCACACTCACAACAACGGCCTATACAGACATAAATAAAGTCTCTCTACCTGTCTGTCTGTCTCTCTACCTGTCTGTCTATCTACCTGTCTGTCTATCTACCTGTCTGTCTCTCTACCTGTCTGTCTCTCTACCTGTCTGTCTCTCTACCTGTCTGTCTCTCTACCTGTCTGTCTGTCTCTCTACCTGTCTGTCTGTCTCTCTACCTGTCTGTCTGTCTCTCTACCTGTCTGTCTGTCTCTCTACCTGTCTGTCTCTCTACCTGTCTGTCTCTCTACCTGTCTGTCTCTCTACCTGTCTGTCTCTCTACCTGTCTGTCTGTCTCTCTACCTGTCTGTCTGTCTCTCTACCTGTCTGTCTGTCTCTCTACCTGTCTGTCTCTCTACCTGTCTGTCTCTCTACCTGTCTGTCTCTCTACCTGTCTGTCTCTCTACCTGTCTGTCTGTCTGTCTCTCTACCTGTCTGTCTGTCTCTCTACCTGTCTGTCTCTCTACCTGTCTGTCTCTCTACCTGTCTGTCTCTCTACCTGTCTGTCTCTCTACCTGTCTGTCTCTCTACCTGTCTGTCTCTCTACCTGTCTGTCTCTCTACCTGTCTATCTCTCTACCTGTCTGTCTCTCTACCTGTCTGTCTCTCTACCTGTCTGTCTCTCTACATATCTGTCTGTCTGTCTGTCTGTCTCTCTACCTGTCTGTCTCTCTACCTGTCTGTCTCTCTACCTGTCTGTCTGTCTCTCTACCTGTCTGTCTGTCTGTCTCTCTACCTGTCTGTCTGTCTCTCTACCTGTCTGTCTCTCTACCTGTCTGTCTCTCTACCTGTCTGTCTCTCTACCTGTCTGTCTCTCTACCTGTCTGTCTCTCTACCTGTCTGTCTCTCTACCTGTCTCTCTCTACCTGTCTGTCTCTCTACCTGTCTGTCTCTCTACCTGTCTGTCTCTCTACCTGTCTGTCTCTCTACATATCTGTCTGTCTGTCTGTCTGTCTCTCTACCTGTCTGTCTCTCTACCTGTCTGTCTCTCTACCTGTCTGTCTGTCTCTCTACCTGTCTGTCTCTCTACCTGTCTGTCTCTCTACCTGTCTGTCTGTCTCTGTCTGTCTCTCTACCTGTCTGTCTGTCTCTCTACCTGTCTGTCTGTCTCTCTACCTGTCTGTCTCTCTACCTGTCTGTCTGTCTCTCTACCTGTCTGTCTGTCTCTCTACCTGTCTGTCTCTCTACCTGTCTGTCTCTCTACCTGTCTGTCTCTCTACCTATCTGTCTGTCTCTCTACCTGTCTGTCTCTCTACCTGTCTGTCTCTCTACCTGTCTGTCTCTCTACCTGTCTGTCTCTCTACCTGTCTGTCTCTCTACCTGTCTGTCTCTCTACCTGTCTGTCTCTCTACCTGTCTGTCTCTCTACCTGTCTGTCTCTCTACCTGTCTGTCTCTCTACCTATCTGTCTGTCTCTCTATCTGTCTGTCTCTCTACCTATCTGTCTGTCTCTCTATCTGTCTGTCTCTCTACCTGTCTGTCTGTCTCTCTACCTGTCTGTCTCTCTACCTGTCTGTCTCTCTACCTGTCTGTCTGTCTCTCTACCTGTCTGTCTCTCTACCTGTCTGTCTCTCTACCTGTCTGTCTCTCTACCTGTCTGTGTGCAGGTGCAGACAGAGAGATCCAGTCAGTGAGACAGGTGATGGTGAACATCCTGCAGAACCACACCCAGCAGGACTGGCCCGACCGCTGCCCTCCTCTGAGGCCCTACAGGTAGCAGAACCAGAACCAGAACCAGGACTAGTTACAGAACTAGGAACAGAACTAGGAACAGAACTAGAACCAGGATCAGAACCAGGACTAGTTACAGAACTAGAACTAGAACCAGGATCAGAACCAGGACTAGTTACAGAACTAGAACAGAACTATGACCAGGACTAGAACCAGAACCAGAACTATGACTAGTTACAGAACCAGAACCAGGACTAGGAACAGAACCAGAACCAGAACTATGACTAGTTACAGGACTAGTTACAGAACTAGAACCAGAACTAGGACCAGAACCAGGACTAGGACCAGAATTAGGACTAGTTACAGAACTAGGACCAGAACCAGGACTAGGACCAGAACTAGGACTAGTTACAGAACTAGGACTAGTTACAAAACTAGAACCAGAACCAGAAGTAGGACTTGTAACATAACCAGAACCAGGACTAGAACCAGAACTATGAACAGGACCAGAACTAGGACTAGTAACATAACTAGAACCAGGACTAGAACCAGAACCAGAACTATGACTAGTTACAGAACTAGAACCAGAACTAGGAACAGAACC